TCATCGAGAGTATATTCTATATGAGTAAAGCGCTCTACCTAGCATTTACCTGTTATAAACCTTGTTCATGTGTAGTAGTACCCCAGTAATTACCCTGTAATCTGGTCATTTGTATTGGGTAAGGGTAAAAGGTAGGGTAAAGATAGGCTCGTTGCTTTTGACCTTTTAGGGGCCGTCCATAAATGACGTCACGCGATTTTGGACGATTTTTGACCCCCCCTCCCCTTCGTCACATGGCGTCCCAAAAAGTCAGACCCCCCCCCCTCAAATATGACGTCACAAAGCTCTGCCCCCCACCCCCGCCCGCCAAAAAAACATACGCTTCAATTCGCTTTAAACTATTGTCATTGTAGTGCGTATGTAATGTGGCGCTGCACTCTGATGTTGTAGGAGAAAACATTAAAAAGTATATTTAATTAAGTAGAACGTGTTGTCTATATTTATAATTGTGCATTTTTACGTGACGTCACATTTCTCAAACCCCCCCTCGTCACACATCGTCACAAATATCTGAACCCCCCCCCCCCTCCTAGGTGCCTGACGTCATTTATGGACGGCCCCTTACCTTGCTAAAGGGTAAAAGGTAAGGGTAGAGTGATTGTATTGTGGCAAGGTAAAAGGTAGGGTAAAGGTAGGCTCGTTGTTTTGACCTTTTGCCTTACCGAGGCCTACTGGCAGGGAGGCTCGCGAATATGAATCCCGTGCAGCCATCGATGGATGAGCCGTGGCCATCTTGTGGCAACGCGTCGCTCGTGGGGAATGGGGGGGCCATGGCACAGTCAGGAGCCCCCCACGATTCGCGAACTACGTTACCGTCACGCAAGCCCCGGTCGTCATTCCTCGCAGCAGCGGCGGCGGCGGTGAATGTTGGCTAGGTCAGGGGGGTTGTTCGGCAGCTTTTCAAGGTATCATAAGAGGAAGAAGAGGCATTTGTTTTTACACGCTTTCATTTAACTCACTCTGTCTGTTGTTGTTGTATCCTCAAATCTTGTAACTCGATTTTAACCCACTTCCCAATGTGGTATCGACTGCAAACTTGGTATACTTATGTCATACTGATGACAATACTATATTCTTTCATAAAAAAAATATATATTTTTTTAACATTATTTTGCGATGTTATGTTTCGGCTTGGGTCTAATTGTCCACGGTTAACTGACGTTGGCTGTAATTGCTCACGGTCCCTTACGTTCTGGCAAGCTTCGGGCCCGCTTCAGGCCCACTTCGTGTAGTGGTGGAGTTCTTCCATTACTAGTACATTTCATAAAAGCGTGTTTTAAAAAAAAGTTTTTTTTTTATATTACTTATTTTGCCTTTGATCCAAATAGTTGGAGAGCCGCATCACACGTCGCAAAGCTGCTCGTACACAAACACAGCGGGTATACAGCAGATGACAACAACAACATACATTCTGACTTAATAAACAAAAGAGGTGATGGAATCAACTGTGTCCATTTCGTTTAGTCCCACCTTAGTTACTCTTCAACAATACGGGCTGACTGTTGTGCATTTTGTTGTCACCACCAACAAAGTCCACAGTGACCCCATTCCCTGTTATCAATCTAATGAGCCAAGAATGTCTGTGTGTCCCACGCGTGACGTCACTCCACGTCGACCAGCCCCCTTCATTAATAATCATGAACAGGTGACGTCCTCCAAATGGACACCCTGCCTCCATTCATAATAATTAGCGGCTGACGTCACTCCACATGGGGGGTCGAGGCGCCTCCTCCCCCCTCCTCGGCGTCAACTTACAACCCTCACTGTTGAGACATCAAAGTAAAAAGGTCGTCATGATGAACAAGGTGTTATAACTGTTAAATGAAATAAGTCTGTCACCGCGCCCTTACAAATTGCACACAAATTGATGCAATGAATATCACGTCGAGGTCTGCTTTTCGCTTGCAAGTTTCACATTCACCGCAATACACCCGTCCTTGGACGGGAAAAAGGCTAGTATTTATATAATTATCTTCACGTTACATTCATGTTTGACATTACATGTTTTTTTAAACGGCTGCCCGCAAGGGAGCAGCCAAAGAACCGCAGGTTGCCGAGCCCTGTGCTTGGCCATCGAACAAAGACGGTGGCGGTCATCGCATCGTCTTTGTTTTCAGATGCGCGCTTCAGCGGCCGTCTGGAACGCTCTTCCCTCCCGATATTAGGAAGCCACTGGGAGTTGTGGCATTTTAAATCATCTAGATTGACGAATTTCTTTAAAACTGCTTGTTTCTTGCGTTTAGTTTGTTGTCTTTCGCTCGCACCTCCGATGAACACAGTTGGCGACGTGGGCAAGTGAGAGTTATCCATAAGAGGTTTTTTTTGAGTGAATGAGAGTTCGTTGACCATACTGCATGCACTGCCCTCTACTGCCCACAACGCCCACTGCTGGTGGCGATCACCCATCCGAGCACGATCCAGGATCAACTCCTGCTGAGCTTCTGTGATCTGACAAGATCGGGTGCATTACGGATGATCTGGTAATGATAAATACATAATCGTTACTAAAAAAAAGTGTTGATGATGGCCATATCACGCGTTAGAATCAATGCGTTTTAATGAGTCCATGTCCATTGAACATAAGCGGAGGCACGGCGGTGGAGAGATGTTAACGCCCTCGCCTGGAGGTCATGGATTTGATCCCGACCCTGACGCCTGCTGCTGTATATTTGGAGTTTGCGTGTCTCTCTCTCATCATCGTCACGGTGGTTAGGAAATGTTAACTGCTTCGCCTGGTATACAGGAGGTCGTGGGTTCGATCCCGGCCCCGACGCCTGCTGCTGTATATTTGGAGTTTGCGTGTCTCTCTCTCCCCGTGGTCGCATGGATTTTTATCCGGGTTCTCCGGTTTTTCCCTCCACAATTGTAATCAACATCACGCGCTTAGAGTATTTGGCTGATATCAATGTCCACGCGATAAGCCACTTCGTTGAGATATCATTTGTGACCAGGACACTTCTGAAAAAGAGCGATAGAGCTCAGGTGGGCCTTACCTGGTAAAATAAAACATTGTATTAGTTTTTACATGGCATTAATTACAAATGAGTTAAATAAGCGTGACGTGACCAATTTCAATGCGACTTTGTTAAATAGTCAACGTTAAAGCATCGGAAGGGAATGTAAAGATCGCTATGGTTGTGAATGCGCGTAAACGGCAAGTGTGCGTGGACATTGTATTTGGATGTTAATGTGTGGACACGTTTAAAATGAATACGGGGTATCTCACTTTCTTTGCCGAGTAATCTGTCTCGCATTGTTCACAGCTTTGCAAAGTTTAATATTGACGACCGCAACAATATATAATATTTTATTATCAAATAATACCGTATTCTATGGATTATAAGAGACACTGCGGGGAAAAAAACAAGACGCACCACCAGGCTTGTTTGATTTAGCCAATGCTTTTACACGTGTCAATTACACATTTAGAGCACCGTATACACAAGAGAAATACGTAATTAAAGAAATACATACATAGTATGTCGATGTTCTACAGGGACTCCTCTACTTACGAACGAGTTAGTTTCCAGAGGTCTGTTTGTAAGTCCAACTTTACTCCTGTCGATTCCAAACATGTTGTACGGCGTCTACACGAGACACGGGGAATGGCTTTAAAAGTTGCATAATCTGTAGATGCCACTGGTTCCTCACGTTCTGCAGATGTAGATGCCACTGGTTCCTCACGTTCTTCAGATGTAGATGCCACTGGTTCTTCGTGTTCTGCAGGTGTAGATGCCACCACCATCTATTGCGCGGCGGTTGAACTTACGACGGACAGGTTTTGTTCGTATCTCTGAAAATTTGTAAGTCGAATGTCCGTAAGTGGAGGAGTCCCTATATTGTGAGCGGATGTCAGTCCGACGTTGCCGCTGAGTCACGCGACAGCCCTTCTGCCGAGGCCATGAGTACTGTCCTGAATACACTGATAATATGTAAAAATTAGGTTTTAAAGCGAATTTTCCTTGGCATTAGTATTCTGCTGCTCAGCCGTGGAGAGCAATAACAGCGGCTGCTACACACATCTTATCTGGTCAGGTTTTTATTGTAATTGGACACCCAGAGATGTTTAGCTCCCCGAATATTTTTCCGGCAAGACGGAGGGCTGTTAGGCACACCATGTCCGACGTTTCGCCCCAAGCGCTGGGAGCTTCTCCAGCAGGGAAGTTCAACTCGTGGTACACATGACAGTCACGAAACACTCCGCAGCCGCACCTGGACGTTCTACTAGATCTGTCACCTACGAGTGACGTGGACGTGACCCCACGTTGCGTCTTCACTTCTTGTCGCACCGCACTCTTCCACAGCGCGCTGTGCATCATTAGCCCGTTGAATGTTCCTTGCTTTGGGCATGCAGAGGAACACAAAATGAAGGTGACACTCACGACTCTTGAGCTTAATTTTTTTTCTTTTTCGCGGACAGGCATTTCCCGCTGATACCTGCGAGACAGGGCCACGGAATCTCCACGATCGTCGCAGGCTGCGTCGTTTCTTGTTTTTCGCCAAACCGATCGCGCAACGCGGATTTCTCCTTGCCGCTCGTTTCCCCAACTTCGACAATAACCATCCGGGGCCCTCCAGAGTCGACGGCGGCAGCCTCACGAACAGTCCCCGTCGCCAACTTCCCAAACGATCGGCTCCGGAACGATCACCGAGATGGCGGCAGATCCACGACCGCCACCCACCCCACCCAGTGGCGTAGCTAGGATATTTTGCGCCCGGAGACGAACTATAAAATTGGCGCCCCCCCCCCCCCCCCCCCCCGTTTAATCACATACCAAAATGTAATTACGTGACATGTAGGCTGTGTGTGGCGGGATATATAAACTTTTAGGTTGAGGTGTAGATTTGTGCAGTAGTTTCAGGCTGCCGCGCCCGCCGCAATAAGTTATAATGTAACGTTGTAAGCCTCATTTTGGCGCCCCTTTACCTTGGCGCCCGGGGACATATGTACCCCCCTGCCCCCCCCCCCCTAGCTACGCCTCTGCCCCCCCCCCCGCCACTCACTTCCCGATGCAGAAGTCCCGGAAGATGACGTCGAGGATGTCCTCGGCACCGACGCGGCCGGTGATGCGTCCGAGCTGCCGCATGGCAGAGCGCAGGTGCTCGGCTCCCAGCACCACATCCATCGCGGGCCCCGACGCCGCCAGGAAGTCGCTCAGTGCGGCGGCGCAGCCGCCTAGCAGCGTGCGGTGTCGGGCCTGCGTGAGGCTGGCGTGGCCGGTCAGGGGGTCACCGCACCTGTCGCGCCCCCAGCCACCCGCCCGGTCACCACGATCACCGCCAGCACCACCGTCACCAGTCATCACCACCACCATCACCACCACCACTACCGTCATCACCACCACTACCGTCATCACCACCACCACTACCGTCATTACCACCACTACCGTCATCACCACCACTACCGTCATCACCACCACTACTATCATCACCACCACCACTACCGTCATCACCACCACTACCGTCATCACCACCACTACCGTCATCACCACCACTACCGTCATCACCACCACTACTATCATCACCACCACCACTACCGTCATTACCACCACTACCGTCATCACCACCACTACCGTCATCACCACCACCACTACCGTCATCACCACCACTACCGTCATCACCACCACTACCGTCATCACCACCACCACTACCGTCATCACCACCGTCACCATTACCACTACCGTGACCACCACCTTCATTGTCACCAAAGACAGAAAAAAAGGGCAAATATCCCCCGCATAGCCTTGCAGACTGTTGGGGCAAGTGCTGTTAGTGAGCACCTATGAAGGTCGGCATGGCACAAGAAGGGGTGGGTGGCCAACACCACACACGGCCACCTTTGTCTCCCCAGTGGTGATGTTTACACACATCGCACCAGGTATTAATTTGAGGCCGAGTCGACCTAGAGGAGGCCCAGGAGCCATTCGGATAATCGTCTCTGGTAACGGCCGTGAGCGGGAATTGAACTCGGGTTGCCGGAGTCGGCGCGCTAACCGTTGCATGTGGCATCTTCGTCTAATGACACAACCCCGATAGGATCAATTGGGATACATCTGTTGACAATGATGGCGAACGAGAGGAGACTCTTTGACTTTTTGAAGCTATTAACATGCATTTGTTATCATGTTACAGTGTACTATCCGTTCTTTTTCCATTAAAAACGATAGTCGCATATAAGCGTAAAAAAATAAAATTTGAAGCACCCTGTATATTTCATGAAATAAATTGCAATGGTAACCATGGGAGACAGAGAGATAAGAGAGCGAGGGAAATGTAAATCGCCGGTCCGTGCCGTACATTTTCTCCACTTTCTCCTTGAGCAGCCGGAGGAACTCGTCGAGACCCTCCTCCGTCTGGCAGGACACGGCGCACACTCCCGGCATCCCGCGCTCCCCCATCCTCGCCTCCGCCGCGTCTCGCTGCAGGAGATCCACCTTGTTCAGCACCACGATGCACTCCCTGCGCTCTGACGCTTGGCTCCCATCCTCCGGCGGGAGCGGGATGAGCGCGGGGGTCACGGGGGTCGCGGGGGTCGCGGGGGTCGCGGTGGTCGCGGGGGTCGCGAAGTCCCCGTCGTCGAGGATCGACTGCGCGCGAGCGAGCAGCATCGCCTCGAGGTCGCGCGAGCCACGCGCCACCTCCGTTGCATCCAGCACCACCACAGCGATGTCCGCTTGCCGCAGCCTGGGGAGGGAGGGGGGTCGTGCGCGAGCAACCGGGATTAGCGGCGAAAACGAGGGACACCCTGTTGATTCGTTTCTGCTGCAGCCGTTCGTTGGAGGGTGGCGAGGAAAAAAAAAGACTTTAAAGTTACGGTTACGTGGGCCGTTGCCAAATGATGTGCTCGTACCATGAGCGCACAGCTACACTAGTCTTCTTGTGTCTCGCCGCGTGCCTCCCCGCTCGTCCCCACTCGTCTCCCCAGGTGTCTCCCCGCGTGTCTCCCCGCATGTGTCTCCGCCCGTCCGCGTGTCTCCCAAGGTGTCTCCCCGCGTCCCCACGTGTCTCCCCAGGTGTCTCCCCAGGTGTCTCTCCGCATGTATCTCCACTCGTCCCCGCGCGTCTCCCCAGGTGTCTCCCCACGTGTCTCCCCACGTGTCTCCCCGCGTGTATCTCCGCCCGCCCCCGCGCGTCTCCCCAGGTGTCTCCCCGCGTGTCTCCCCGCTCATCCCCGGAGTCGTCCTCACCTCTGCCGTGCTCGGCGGACGCCCTCCTGCTCCACAGGGTCGAGCGAGGGCCGCAGGCCGGCCGTGTCGCTCAGCACGATGGGGTAGCCGGCCAGGTCCAGCGCCGTCTCCACCACGTCGCGCGTCGTCCCCGCTATCGGAGACACGATGGCGGCCGGGCGCTGGCCTGCGGCGCCGCGACCCCAAATATGCACACACACACAAAAATAAAAACAAAGAGAAAGATCCCCCCTATAGCCTCAACAGACTGTCGGGGCAAGAGATGTTTGCGAGTAGCACCTATGAAGGTTGGTATGGCACACGGTGGGGTGGGTGGCTGGCACCACACCTGACTGCCTTTGTCTCCCCAGTGGCGATGTTTACACCTCACCAGATACTCGTCGACCTAGGGGAGGCCCAGGACCGATTCAGAAAATCGTCACTGGTGTTGGCCCGTGAGTGGGTGGCCGGGTTCATAGCGCAGTGCGCGAACCACTACAAAAACAAAGATCTCCCGTGTGGCCTGTAAGAGACTGCTGGGGCAAGTGCTGTTAGCGAGCACCTATGAAGTCCGGCACTTCACACGGGGGTGTCTACACTACCGCACACACGCACACAGAGAGAGGTGACGTACACAGCGCGTTGAGGAGGCTGCTCTTGCCGGCGTTGGTGGGCCCCGCGATCACCACCTGCAGGCCACTGCGCAGCCGCTCGCCCTGCCGCCCGTCGCGCAGGTGAGCGGAGACCTCGGCACTCAGCCGCCGCACCTCAGCCTCCACTGCCAGACACGACGGCAAAAACGGCGACAGCGGCGATGGCGTTAACAACAACAGCGAGGTGGCGCAGTGGCACAACTCGTAGCCTCACAGCAAGAAGGGCCTGGATTCGATTCCCGACTCGGGCGCCTTTCTGCGTGGAGTTTGTATGCTCTGCCCCTGTTCTGCATGGATCGTAAACTGCCTGCATTGACTGCAGCTAATGTCATAGTAACCCATGCTGTTTGCGTGATCGTTTCCATCTTGTACCGTTTTTTTTAAATAATCATTTGTTTAATTAAGTAGTAAGCGTCAGCTTCAGCTCACTGACCTCTAGGTACCACTCCGTTTCCTGTCTAGGTGTCTTCCCCTTCTCCACGGGCGAAGTGAAATAACCGGTGCAGTGACTGCATGGAGAGTGACTTTGTGGGGGTAGGTTCCCAAACGCCCTCTGACCCTGCTGCAGAAAACCACCTCTCAGATGTTGAAAAGTCAAAAACCCGACATCCGAGGTCCTTCCCTTGGTCGCCAAAACGTCCCCTCCGTTGCCCGTCTCAGTCACCTGCCCTCCTCCATAAGCGAGATGCGACCGTTGCGGCGGCCTCGTACAGAGTAACCCACGCAGGCGACACGACTGGTGCAGTGAACCCGTGGAGAGTGACTTGGGAGAGAAGGGCCCATGAACATCCTCTCACCGCGCTGCAGAACACCATCCTCAATGTTGTCGTCTTCGCTGAAGTCAATGTAGGCCTCCACGTGGGCGAGACACTGCCGGCGACACGGGCGACGCGTTAGCACCGACCGCGGTGACGATGGTTTACGCGGGTGAATGCGTCGAAGGACGTTGGCCAGGGCAACAAAGCGAACATTAACACAGGACCCTCCTGGGATTGAGTCAATTATAATGTAAGAACAGCCACGGTTAAATAATTGGCGCCCTGGTCATTATCATCATGTGATTGGGGATGATGATGAGTGCATTTCGTGGCCCGTGGCTCAGCGGTCAAAGCGCCGACCCGATACCATTTGAGATCCTGAGTTCATATCCAGGTCACAGTCACCTGTGATTAAACCGGCTTCTCAAGCGCAGAGAGCCGATGGGTTCAGAACGATCACCAAGGAGTGTGCCAAAAAGCCATCACGTTAAATGTGGTTCTCTCACTTAATTTAGCTAAACTCCAGCTCTGATAAATACAAATATTAGTTTTGGCTGTTGTGCGATGAACATTTACTCTCTGTGGCAGGGCAGTTGGGACAAGGCTGTCCCCGTACTTTGCTGACCAGAGGTCAGTTGAACGGGGCTTCAACGTGGTAAATAAAACGTCTGAAAACTTCTGAAAAAGGAGCGCGCTAGCGTCAACCTGCTTGAGGCGGTCACTCCAGGCCGAGTAGAGGCGGCCCAGATCCCCCTCCATCTGCCGCAGGGCCTGCCGCCTCTGGGCCTCGGTCTCGGCGTGGATCAAGTCGCCCAGGCCCTCCACCTCCGTGAGCTCCAGGCGCCCGTTCTGGAACGCGCGCTTCGTGAAGTCTCCAGCCTCGGCCGGGCGCAGGCCCTCGATCTCTCCTGCTCACCGCGGCAGTTGAAGCGCGTATGAAGCGCGTACGCGTGAACACAACGATCCCGCCGTATAGCCTTTGCAGGCTCTTGGGGAAAGTGCCGTTTGCGAGCACCTATGAAAGCCAGAAAGGCGCGCGAGGGCGTCGTGTGGCCTGGACCAAGGCCGACCACATTTGTCTGCCCAGTGGCGATGTTTACGCACGACGCCAGGTACTCATTTCAGGCCTTGCGAAGGACCAGGACTGGTTCAGATACGAGTTGCTGATGTTAGCTGTGAGCAGGAATCGAACTCAACATGCACACAACAAAGACAGAAAGAGCCGCCATTCGTAATGAAATGCCGGTGACATCGCCCCAGTACTTGTGCCAGGCTAGGCGCACGTTGAGACTGGCAGCTTCAGACATTGAGACAAACGCACACACGTGCACATATATGTACGCACACACGTGCACATATATGTACACACACGTGCAAGCACATGCACAAACGCACACACATTACCTTTAAATGTTATAACCGTCATGAGCCAATGTAAGATGGTGAATATTGTATCCATTTAAAAATTTTCTCATGCACCCTATAACTGTTAAACTTTTACAGGTAGGAACAACAGTTCCACACTGCCCACGAGGGATTATTTGTCTGTCTGTCGTGCATAGCCATGCCCTCAATTTGTATTTCATAGAGCGCTTCGGGCGGGCTCAGCACCACGTGACGCGCCGCCCCATGCAGCTTGCGCCGCGTGACACGGATTGCACGAATGCGCTGCCCAACCAAGTTCCTACCTGCCCACTCCGAAGGAACGTGTTCTGTAACTCAATTGCAATCGTACTACGATCCGTCTAAAAATATTCTGCCTGAGCTAACTTATGCTACAGGAAAGTTATTATTAAAAAACGATTCTTGTTTGTGCAATATTTCTGCTTTTTATCTGGATCATCGCTGTACTTTTACTTTAGTCATTTTGGTGAGTCAGAGGTCTACCTTCTCAAACATGTCTCGTCCCGGTCTCTCGAGTTCTCACCTCGTTAAGCAAACAAACTCGACGTGGCTCGTCCCTTTACAGCGAGCGAAGAGGCAAACCGATGGAGCGAGCGCGACCGAGCGCGTGAATACCTAGAGCTCGAAGGACAGCGCTCACCACCGCAGGTCCTCCGTGGACCTGGAACTCACACGAGTCCTCGCCGGTGAAACTGTTGGGTCCTGCAAAAAAAAGTCCACAAATGAAAGAAAAAAAAACAGGATGTTGTGACCACCGTTTGGCTCAGGGGGTCAAAGCGCTGAGCTGAGGTTCTAGGTTCACGTGTGTGCCTGCACCTCCAATTGGCACGGTTGGCTATGTACGGCGCAAAAGAAGTTCAACATACAGTACAAAGGACAAAGATCACCTTATAGCCTTAAAAAACTGTTGGGGCAAGTGCCGTTAACGACCAGCACCTATTATGGCCGGCACGGCACAGGAGGGGTTGGGTGGCCAGAACCACGCCCCGGCCGCCTTTGCCTCCCCAGTGGTGATGTTGATACACTGCACCAGGTACTCATTTGAGGCTGAGTCGACCTTGGGGAGGCCCAGGACCGGATCAGATAATCGTCACTGCTGTTGGTGGTCGTGAGCAGGAATCGAACTCGGGTCGCCGGGTTCGTAGCGCAGCGCGCTAACCGCCAGCCACACTACCGCTCCCCAAAACAAACGGTACATACGTTCATACAAACAGCAACGTTGGCAAAGCTCAGAGGGGACGTCCACCTGGAAACCAGAGCACCAGGCCCCTGTCGAGGGCCTCCCCGGACAGCGGGTGAATGATGCGGCGCAGGGCGGCGTGGCGCGGACGCGGCAGGGCCCTCGCGCCCGTCATGCGCAGCAGGGCGGCAGCGGCATGCGGGCCCGACACCCTGAGCACCGCAACGCCGGCGCGGCCTCCGCCGGACGACAGCGCGAACACGGAGGAGGCGTCCCCGCGCCCGTTCCGTCGTCCGTCCTCCATCCAGGCCGACCGTCCGTCTCGTCCGTTACGATCGTCCGCCGGGGTCCCGTGGAGCTGCGAGCCGCTCCACCTGCGCACGGCGGCCACCGCTGCTGCCGATCGCCAGACGCGGCGGTGCCACGCGTAGCCCGGGGTCATCATCGCCGGTCGCCGTGACCTCTAAGACGGATCGGGCGGTTACAACGCGGTGCATCACAATTTGTTGGTGCGATCTACTGGACATCTGTGAAACTACGGGACATTTCTCCTTCTTGGTTCTTTCGGTAAAGTCACGTAGAATGGAAATAATAAAATAATAAAAATAAACCATAATAAAATTATTCTCACGACGTTTCGGCCACAACGCAAGCAGCTGTCCTCAAGTGGAGAACCTGAGGTGGAGAACAGGTCTGTCAAGAAAACAGTCTGAACCTCTGTCTTTTCGACAGACCTGTTCTCCACCTGAGGACGGTTGCTTGCGTTGTGGCCGAAACGTCGTGAGAATTATTTTATTATGTTTTATTTTTATTATTTTATTATTTCCCTTCTACGTGACTTCACCGAAAGAACCAAGAAGATGAATCCCTGCAGTCACGAAAGCTTTAAATCGAAATACGGAACATTTGTGAAATAGAGCTGCATAGCCCATCGGATTCTTCTCGTATAAATATTCTGATTCTGAACTAAGACTGAACGCGTTTATGCATGAGCTGCATCTGTCTTCTGTCTGTACCGTGGAGGGACTTTAACGATTGTGATCCTCCAATGTGATCAAATCGTGAGCATAATGTGGCGTTGCTATTAGGGACTTGCCCTGATTATAACTGGAAACAATTGATCAAAGCATTGCCTAGAGCTTGGAGACCCAAACCAGAGGAATAAAAAAATAAAACATTGCAAATATCCAAACGCAGGCTTCCATACCACCTTATAACATGAGTGTTACATAACCCATGAGGATGCACTGCATACAACTTGACTCTTTGTTTTTCTACACCCCCCCAATTTGCACGGCTAACATCAGTGGCACATAACATCTGAACTGGTTCCCGAACGCCTCCCTGACCCTCTTGCCCACCCCACCCGTTGCCAATCAACTGCTGGATGAGAGCCCTCTTCAGTATGGTCAGATGCGTGACCATACTTCACCACTCCGCGATTGGTGAAGGCGGGGGGAGCATAGAAGTACAGCACAACAATGCACATTGTCTGCTGCCCACTGCCTCTAGCACCGACCATGCACGGCACAGGGAAGTTGTGGGAATCACGAACCAAGCTCACTCCAGCCCTGCTGTTTAGCTTCAGAGACATTGGCGCATTGCGTGTTACACTTGACGTCGGACTTCTTTCGCACCGTACGTAGCCGACCGTCGCCCGAGTCGCGAGGTACGCGCCTATTTGTCCACGGCGAGCACGTTCAACTTGAGTCCTCGTGAGAAACATCGCGAGTGTGCGGCAGCAACCTCGCCGACCGGTACGGTGCGAAAGAAGTTCAAGCGTGCTGTACAGTGGACAGTGCCCGACCGGCGCGGTGACGTACGGACAAATAACCCGCACGGCACCTCGATTCTAGCGGCTGGCTGACACGGGGTTCTTGCGAGCGGAGTTGTGCGTTTGTAGCCGGCGACGTCTGCCCAAGTCGAAATGTTGAAGTTGCGTCGCGACCTGAAGACGCAGGCCCCCCACTCGGTCAACTTACCCGAAACACGTGCGTGCCGGCGATCACATTCCCTACAGCGCATAGGCGGCGTGACGTGAGGGCCGCCCGCTGTGATTGGTCGAGAAGGGGCGGCCTCCCCCCCCTCCTCCTCCCATCCCCCCCCTCCTCCTCCCACCCCCCCCCCTCCTCCTCCCATCCCCCCCCTCCTCCTCCCATCCCCCCCCCTCCTCCTCCCATCCCCCCCTCCTCCTCCCATCCCCCCCCTCCTCCTCCCATCCCCCCCCTCCTCCTCCCACCCCCCCTCCTCCTCCCATCCCCCCCCCCTCCTCCTCCCATCCCCCCCCTCCTCCCATCCCCCCCCTCCTCCTCCCATCCCCCCCCTCCTCCTCCCATCCCCCCCCCTCCTCCTCCCATCCCCCCCCCTCCTCCTCCCATCCCCCCCCCTCCTCCCATCCCCCCCCTCCTCCTCCCACCCCCCCCCCCTCCTCCTCCCATCCCCCCCCTCCTCCATCCTCCCATCCCCCCCCTCCTCCTCCCATCCCCCCCCTCCTCCTCCCATCCCCCCCCTCCTCCTCCCATCCCCCCCCTCCTCCTCCCATCCCCCCCCTCCTCCTCCCATCCCCCCCTCCTCCTCCCATCCCCCCCTCCTCCTCCCATCCCCCCCTCCTCCTCCACCCCCCCCCCCTCCTCCTCCCATCCCCCCCCCTCCTCCTCCCATCCCCCCCCCTCCTCCTCCCATCCCCCCCCTCCTCCTCCCATCCCCCCCCTCCTCCTCCCATCCCCCCCCTCCTCCTCCCATCCCCCCCCTCCTCCTCCCATCCCCCCCCTCCTCCTCCCATCCCCCCCCTCCTCCTCCCATCCCCCCCCTCCTCCTCCCATTACCCCCCTCCTCCCATTCCCCCCCCCCCTCCTCCCATCCCCCCCTCCCCACCCGCCTGTCCGTCACGCGCGTCGCGATTGGCTACCGCGGCGTCGCGCGCCTAAGCGGTCTATGAAATGCAATCGCGCCGCTTGTTGATCCCGTGCGCCGCGTGCGTTGTGGAGGTTGACGAGGCGCTCCGGGTTTGTTTGTTTCCTGTCGTTGTGAGTCAATTAGGGGGACTAAGTAGGCGACGCGTAGTCAGTCGCCTGCGACGTTGATCGGCGTTACGGATTCGTGTTTGTGTTGTTGCTGAAGAATGTTGCGTTGGTGTTCTCTGTTTAAACGCCACGACATCTGAACGTTGTCTGAGCTTAGCTCAAAGGAGAAGCGAGCGCTCCCAGGCCTGACGGTGGCTGTAATGTTACATTGTTAGTAAAGCAATTATCATCATCACACGATAGTAATTAAACAATGATTGAATGGATATTACTCGGCGCAGTGTTTAGCCTAGGGGAGCCCCTAATGGCAGATTGCCACTCAGCAGACGCGTGAATTGTATACCTTGGGTATTGTATACCTTGTGTATGATTAATTGTATACCTTGGGTATTTTATACCTTGTGTATGATGAATTGTATACCTTGGGTATTGTATACCTTGTGTATGATTAATTATATACCTTGGGTATTGTATACCATGTGTATAATGAATTGTATACCTTGGATATTGTATACCTTGTGTATGATTAATTATATACCTTGGGTATTGTATACCATGTGTATAATGAATTGTATACCTTGGGTATTGTATACCTTGTGTATGATTAATTATATACCTTGGATATTGTATACCATGTGTATAATGAATTGTATACCTTAGGTATTGTATACCTTGTGTATGATCAGTTGTATACCTTGGGTATTGTATACCATGTGTATAATGAATTGTATACCTTGGGTATTTTATACCTTGTGTATGATGAATTGTATACCTTGGGTATTGTATACCTTGTGTATGATTAATTATATACCTTGGGTATTGTATACCATGTGTATAATGAATTGTATACCTTGGATATTGTATACCTTGTGTATGATTAATTATATACCTTGGGTATTGTATACCATGTGTATAATGAATTGTATACCTTGGGTATTGTATACCTTGTGTATGATTAATTATATACCTTGGATATTGTATACCATGTGTATAATGAATTGTATACCTTAGGTATTGTATACCTTGTGTATGATCAGTTGTATACCTTGGGTATTGTATACCATGTGTATAATGAATTGTATACCTTGGATATTGTATACCATGTGTATAATGAATTGTATACCTTGGGTATTGTATACCTTGTGTATGATCAATTGTATACCTTGGGTATTGTATACCATGTGTATAATGAATTGTATACCTTGGATATTGTATACCATGTGTATGATTAATTGTATACCTTGGGTATTGTATATACCTTGTGTATGATCAATTGTATACCTTGGGTATTGTATACCATGTGTATAATGAATTGTATACCTTGGATATTGTATACCATGTGTATGATTAATTGTATACCTTGGGTATTGTATATACCTTGTGTATGATGAATTGTATACCTTGGGTATTGTATACCATGTGTATGATGAATTGTATACCTTGGGTATTGTATACCTTGTGTATGATGAATTGTATACCTTGGGTATTGTATACCATGTGTATGATGAATTATATACCTTGGGTATTGTATACCTTGTGTATGATAAATTGTATACCTTGGGTATTGTATACCTTGTGTATGATGAATTATATACCTTGGGTATTGTATACCATGTGTATGATGAATTGTATACCTTGGGTATTGTATACCTTGTGCATTATGCAGTATAATTATACCGTATTTGTCTAGAGTTCATATCACGCGTTCTTAACCCACCGCATTTACCCATGGTTTGTTTTTGTGTCAAGGGCTATTGACTGATAACTAAACACGTTTGAATGTCACAGTCTGCAAGGTCACTGCTGTCTATGGCTCTCGGTTTGCTTTCGTGCGGTTTTTTAAGCGCCTGGTCTACAGGAGGTCGTGGGTTCGATCTCGACCCTGACACCTGCTGTTGTATATTTGGAGTTTGCGTGTCTCTCTCTTTCATCATCATCACGGTGGCTAAGAGATGTTAACTCCCTCGCGTGGCATACAGGAGGTCGTGGGTTCAATCCCGACCCTGACGCCTGCTGCTGTATATTTGGAGTTTGTGTGTGTCTCTCTCTCATCATCATCACGGTGGCTAGGAGATGTTAACTCCCTCGCCTGGTATACAGGAGGTCGTGGGTTCGATCTAGACCCTGACGCCTGCTGCTGTATATTTGGAGTTTGTGTGTCTCTCTCATCAACATCGCGGTGGCTAGGAGATGTTAACTCCCTCGCCTGGTATGCAGTAGGTCGTGGGTTCGATCTCGACCTTGACACCTGCTGCTGCTGTATATTTGGAGTTTGCGTGTCACTCTCTCATCATCATCATCACGGTTGCTAGGAGATGTTAACTCCCTCGCCTGGTATACAGGAGGTCGTGGGTTCGATCCCGAATTTTACGCCTACTGCTGCTGTATATTTGGAGCAGCGGTCGGCAACCAAAAATAACAAGGAGAGGACATTTTTTGTTCAAATTCGGTCAAAAGAAAAAAAAATCCCTCGATATTTCAAGAGCCGCATTGTAGTCAAATACGAGACGGTGATCCTTAATAAATGACGTCACGAAGCAATCATTAAAGAGCCGCATGCGGCTGCCATACCTGTCAATCCCTTATCAGTGCCCTACCTTATTACAGACCAATTTAAACCTTAATGGTCACCCAGTGCCCTTCTAAATCTCAACCTTCATCCTACAAAGTCCCATCACAAGGGAGAGAAAGACAAACAAATAGACAGCATTCTTTTTTGCCCGCATTGAAACAGCTGTACGACGTATGTACCTGAAAACTCAATTTCCCTGTACAAGAATACTGGTGAACCGTATTGGCTGACAGGTTGCAGACCCCTGATTTAGAGTTTGCGGTGTCTCTCTCCGCTTGGTCGCGTGGATTTTTCTCCGCGTCCTCCGGTTTTTCCCCTCCACATTTAGAATCGACGTGTCACGCGTTTTGGAGTATTTGGCTGCTACGCATTTCCACGTGATGAAGGCACTTCGTCGCGCTATCATTTGTGGTACCCGAGAAAGAGCTACACAGCTCAGTGTGGATGGAGCCTTACCTGGTAAAATTAAAAATAAAATGTAGTTCATGTCCGAGACTACCATTCTCTTAGAAGCATGCTCATGAAAGCAAGGTCTTGGCTATTACTGACCTTAAACCGTACCCCTAAACTCTAAAAACCCAATTGCAAACCGAATCCCTAAAGCAACGACCCGGAAAATATTCTGCGAGGAATTTATCCCCGTGTGTATCTTATCTTATTTTAAAGCATAATGCAAATGGTGATCCCAGCTTGTCAGACTGACTTTGAAATTGTTTAGTCCTTTCCCTAACCCAGTGGTCTACCGGTTCTGCTATCGGTGTCATGTAGTAAGATCCCTTGTAAAGTAGTGCCCCCCTTTTTGTTAGGGTACAGTTCATGTAAGCAGATATCACAGAGCTGCCTTCAATATGCCTTTCGAGTGACCTCTGCTCCACAAAGTGGAGGGCGGCAGTTTTTCACCCGCTCTGCATACGACAATAATGCCCGTCGCATGGCGGTCTAACCGATGTTTGAATTCTCGGCTAAAACTTTACCGAAATGTTTGCGCGGAACCAAATTTTAGCGTGGCGATTAAAACGTCGCTTTATTCACACGGGGTGGTGTCTTTGTATCGGTGTTCCCGCAGCTGAGATGAGTCGCGTGGTGACGTTACTGCGCAGCAAGCTGGGCATGCTGCGAGTGCACATTGGCACCGACTACCTGGGCAACAAGTATTACCTCGTGCCCGAGCAGCGCACGTGGACTGGTGGGTGCGACGCCGCAGTTAACACGGCGGAACCCTCATCCCGCACACACACGCCTGGACAAATATCACAATATAGGACCACGGAGCATAAGAAATGGTTGGCATTGGTCCAGATAAATGCGACATCTGTCTTGCTGGGGTGGTGTTGTTGCCTTGGTGTGGTTGTTTTGCCTCCTTGCCCAAGCTTCGCATTTGGTGTTGACAAATCGGTAGGAATGTGTGTACTTGTGCAGTTTGTGCGTATTTACTTTATTTACATTCGTACATTTTTTTTGGGACTTGCTTACTCGTATCGTTTTGTTTTTGTACTGTTTGTTGTAGTAACTCGCTGAGCCACCCTTACTGGACTTCTGTGAAAAAGGGCTTCATAGTTGGTCGGGATTCCTCCAGGATTCTGATTTACTGCATCTGTGTCCAGAGAACTCAATTTCACCAAAATTTCACAAACTGGTCATTTTAAATGTTGTCATTTTTTATTTCTGTGAATGAGATCAAACTTTAATAGAAAAAAAAACGACCTCTGACCTGATAATTTGTCTTTTATTGTACAGCCGTTGTTGATCTGGCTGAAATGACAGAATGGCCAGAATGGCGAATTGCCCGATGATGCTGGATGTAATTACCAGTGAAACGTCGTACTAAAAAATTGTAAATGTTGTGGATTCACTCTTCAACACACCGGTGGGCTAAAGCAGTGAACTATTTGTCTTTTGACAACGTGACACTTTTTTGCTGATTGGCCATGTCGGGTGGTGGAGGGTTACGACACATTTATAAATAACGCGATCTAACCCAAAAACTTTATTATGAGCTCATTGTCTCTTACACAGCCACAAAGTAGGAGCCCTCTTAATCCACCCATTTGTTTTGTCGTCTTGCCCGCCACGCTTGCCGATCCCGTGTTGCCTCCGGTCAGGTCGCACTGTGCGTCCGCGCCGTTTGGTGGAGGCGTCGCAGTCCAGCACGGCCGACTACGACGGCGACAACATCCCCATGGAGTGGCAGGGTGGGTGAAGGACCTATCCACAAAGCACACCAACGTGCCTAACGTAAAAGCAACAGTGGTCATCCGGGCAGCGACATGGCCCAGCGGTAGCGTGCTCGCCGCTTGTTCCAGGGGTTCACGGTTCGAAACCGGCAGTTCACCCTGGTTATTGCCGCGGTGTAATAACCGGACAAAAAACGCACCAAAAACGCATCAATTACCCACAAATTACCCAGTTGGCATTACGGATATCAATCGTAGCCTTTACTGGCAGACTAGATGCGACTGTGAAACACGGCCTTCGTGATAGTCCTGTGCTATATGAATGGCATGAATACCAATTATAATAGATTATTACTAATATTATTATCACTGCATGGAGGGCATTCCCTTATGAACATTTATCGTGAGGGTACGCAACATAGCCGGGCATAATCCCCCCACATAACGCTCATCGGTTGTTCATTCAGTAGCTCTGAATGCATCCATTGAACCTGCATCTAGAAAATCCAATCGTGTACCTCTACAGCCCTTTTGTCAATCCGAGCTTCAGCGTTGAATGGGACAACCCAGCCTGCAACTTGCAGATGTCTCGGAACGGAAAATGGTTAACTTCCTAGATCGGGTGCATTCTGGGTGACTTGGTCAAAGGCTACGTGGTTGGCAGCAGGGGAGCATTGCAGCAAAATCCATTGCGCCGCTGTGCTCTGTGCTTCCAACTCTCTATGCTCGCTGCCTTCACCGTCCAGCACTGACCAGCATGGGTGAAGCGTGATCTGATAACTTGAGTAACGTGTAGACTATCAGAGGAGCTGCTTCGTTCCTTGCGGCGTACAGAACAGTCCCGTTGGCGCTTGCCCAGTTGACGTCGATGGTTGTGTTTGTTCGTGCAGCGTGGATGCAGGGAAAGAGGGACGGTGCCCCGACCATGGAGGTGAGTGACGAGGCACAGTCCGGTCATGGAGCAGCACCTCACGGGTTGATGGGCGTTTTCACACTCTCATCCAGTGGAAAGATCCCGGCAAAAGCAAAGATGACATTGGCCCCCGATGATTTCTAGATCCCAAATTGCTGACATTTCTTCACAGTCCAGCATTTGCAAAAGCGTTATCATCTTGCTCAAACGAGCATTGCATTAGCAGTGATGGTTTTCATTGATGGTCCTTAGGCCTGTGGGTGGATATTCCACATTGGAACGGTTGGAGATGAGTAACTTGCAAAGTGCAATTATTTCTGACATCTTAAAAAAAGTACTCGGAATGATGCATGCTTGGAATATTACTGAGAAATAGAAAAGGGAACACATGGATTGGAGAACGAGCACAGGTCAATGTTGTCATTTGGGCACACGAGCCTTCCCGTTTAACGAGTGAGATGTTCCAATCCAGCATGACGATTGCCGTCACCATGTATCTCTAACATTTCCCCACTGTATCCCACATTTTGGTTACCACTTCTTGCTGTACATTTTGCATTGTCTCTCGGTTTGTTCCAATGCATTGCCTGCTCAGTACACTGATGTTGAGCATCATGAGCCTCCAGGAAATGTGCTTTCGTGCCTCAATGATTTCGTAGATGTCAACGTTCAATTTTCCCAGTCCCCTGAAGAACGTTACATTGAGGTTTCACTTGATATGAAATCTGCGACAGAACACTGTAGTTATTCCCTCTGCAATGAACCTGAAGGTAGTTAATGGTTACATGTGGTAACCTGATTACATAGTGGAAACGGTGATCATAGGGGATTACCTTTACCTGCATTTCACCCCTCAGCACTGTGGACTAGAGGTGTATGGTTATAGCCACTGATAGCAGCCGGGACTTGTGAATGAATGGGCCCCAGCCCCCTGTGAATGACCTGGGACTCGATGAAGAGCTTTGCCCCCCCCACCGCCCTAGGATGCGCTGGGACACATTGGTGCTGTCCTGGTTGTTTCCCCAGCTCTCCCTGGGGCTCGTTGTGCTGAGCCCCCTAATTGCTTCGTTTTGGTCCGTGCCACAGTGTTGCTCTCTTTACTTTCTCCCGTTTCGTTCTCGCCTCTGCCCTGACCACCACCACCGCCGCCGCCACTCCTTCTACCCTCATGTAGTTTTTTCTTTTGTTCATCACAATCGATTGCCTTTAGAGGCGAGATAACTTTAATTATTGTGAGTGAGCAGGCTGACACCACCATCAAAGCACTACGTTTCAAAAACCCGGATCGATTAAAAGCGGCTGAAACCCAGAGCCGAGGCACCCGTAGACTCAGCGGCTCGCCATCTCTTGACACGGCCCGTGCGTTGTCGCCGCTGCACCTGCAGGAGGTGTCCCGCCGGGAGGCAACGAGCCACCTGGTGGCCGAGCGGGGCCGCCTGAGCGAGATCAAGGACGAGGAGGCCCAGCAGCGCGCCTATGAGGAGGGACTGGTGGCACGTGCGGCCACGCGAGCTCCGGGCCACGCCGCGCTGACCCACGGCATGCCGCTAGGCCCGTCGCCCGAGCCCGGCGGCACTGCCGGCAAGTTCCATCCGGGATCGTGGCTCCCGGGTGAGGGGGCGGATACCGGCGGAGGGGGTAACGCGGCGACGGCAGGACGGGACGGCGGTGGCTTCCAGCCGGAAAGTTGGACGCCTGGACAAAAGGGCACGAAACAATGAGGCCTTGCCCAACGTCGATTCCTTTCCACCCGGTTATGTACAACCCAGTATTTCCAATTTTGGGAGTCGTGTAAAGGGTAAAACGGTTAAAGGCCGGTGCAATTGGTTTCTTACGCCACTGCTAAATTTGAAACTTACAAACTAAACTAGTTTTATTTTAGCACGTAAGGCCCACTGAGCTAGTTTATTTTTTTCAGAAGCCACAAATGATCGCTCAATGAAGTGGCCTGTTCTGTGCACATTTATAGCAGCCAAATACTCTAAATGCATGTTTCTAAATGTGGAGGGAAAAACTGGAGGACCCGGAGAAAAATCCACGCGACCACGGGTAGAACATGCAAAGTCCAAATATACAGGCGTCAGGGTCAGGATCGAACTGACGACCTGTATACCGGGCAAGGTAGTTAACACCTCGCCACACTGAATGAAGGGCCTCGACTGGTGGCAGCTCAAGAGAGGCCCTCTATCGGGTATGTTAGGCCTACTCTTCCACGCAGGCCAGACGTCTTGGGAAATGTGGAAGTCTCTACACTATGCCCGGCCACGTTTGACCTTGCCGATCGACTGTTATGTACGCATCCATACTGCTAGGTGGACAAAGGTGGTGGAATTTAATCAACTTGCCCATTGTTTGATCTGCTGCGCTGGGAGAACGAACTGGAAAAAACGAATGTGGATTACAAGTCTCGACAACATCGTTGGAGTTATGTAATGAGGGCAAATAAAAAAATATTCTGGAAGTTATTTTGTCGGAAATTTGCACACCTCTGATTAGTGTGGTTGGCTACGTACGGTGCGAAAGAAGTTCTGCATACATACGTATTGGGGTATGGTCCTTGAATAAACAATTTAGACCTACTGGTCTAGAGTTCAGTAAGCCTCTGTCACTCTTAACATAAAATTAGTGGCGCCATCATAATCTGCAAGGTGTTATAACTACTTGTCAAACATGCAATGTAAACAATGTATACATATTAGTCGTATAACACCACACTACGGCATTCGATGCAAGTGGCCTTGGGAAGTACATGTCTCGGACGGAGGCCGAACCTAACAAACTGGAAGTCCAAGGAGAAAATCGGACCTGAGAACACGTCCACCACAGAGATGGAGCAATGAAATCGGTTCATGTGGAGGTGGTTTGCGGATCGTTGGGCCGTGAGACTGGGGGTTGGAAAACTACATTTTCTGAAGGCCTGATTGATACGGAGATGTATTGCTGTTATCTCAGTTACTGATCAATGGCGCAAAACACCATTGGCTAGCAACAAACAGCACTATTCAAGTGTGCAATGGTAAAGCGTCAATACGTTCCTCGAACTGGGCAAGGTTATATGAGCGTGTGGGAAAGTAAACGATGTGAGGGATTATCCAAAGTGATTTGGAGTTCCCCCCCCTTAACCCTGGTGATCTTCACCGAGCTCAGTGTTGTCGGTGGTCCGACATAGCTTTGCGGGGAATCTACGTCATCGTTAATCTTGGCATTCGAGTGAAAGCGTCGTTGCTCAAACAAGCGTTGGGTGTTGCTCATCTCCATTGGTGGCTCCGAGGCGGTAGTAGCGACTCCACGTTCAGCTGGTGGGTGCCAGTATTGCACCCAAAGCGCAATCACTGTTGACTTGCCACAAAGAGGAGGGGTAGCTGTTTTTGTATCTATCCTAGATGGTTAATGAGCTACGTCGACTTAAAATTTCAATTTGAATTAAGCCACCTGACTTGGAGAAGTACTTGCCCTGATAAAATGTCACGTGTAAAGTAAAAAAGACACGTGTAAAGCAATGACATTTTATTAAATAGCACATCACAATCCACTTTCATAAATATCAAATATACAAAATATACAACGGTTGAAACATTGTGAACCGCCTTTGTAAAACATTGTCAATGCTACACTTATTTTCTAGCATACTTTATTTCTTATGGTTTTGTCTTTAAAACATGTTTTCAACACGATTAAAAAATCTCTTTACTCAATGCCATCGCTATGTTGAGCATCCTATAAACCAGCGGCCCCCAACCTTTTTGGCACCGGGGACCGGTTTTGTGAAAGACAATTTTTTCACGGACGGGTCTTTCCCCCTTTTCAAAGAAGCTCTCCAGCGACGTTTGTGTTTTTACTCATTGTGGCTACTAGGGGTTAGCAGCTCGTGGGCTTACCAATACTGTGACTGAGACAAGTGAGTAGTGTCGGATTCTGACTTCTCATAATGAGCACGCAACCAAATCCCTCGCATGCGCAGTTTACAGGAGGGTTCGCGCTCCTGTGATAATCTAATGCCGCCACTGATCTGTCAGGAGACGGAGCTCAGACGGCAATGCGAGCGATGGGGAGCGGCTGTAAATACAGATGATGAAGCTTCGCTCGCTCGCCCACCGCTCACCTCCTGAGTGCGGCCCGGTTCCTAACAGGCCACGGACCGGTAGCGGTCCGCGGCCCGGAGGTTGGGGACCCCTGCTATAAACCGTTAACCAAATACCTGCTAGAATTAACACGAATGTAGATTTTTTTATTTAAAGCTTTCATGACTGCAGGGATTCGTATTCTTGGTTCTTTCGGTAAAGTCACGTAGAAGGGAAATAATAAATTAATGAAATTCATATTGTAACATTAAACTTACCATTGTTGTGTTCATAGCATTAACTCTGAGTTAATGCTATGAACACAACAATGGTAAGTTTTATGTTATGATTCTACTGCAATAAAAGACACTTTTTGGATAAATAATGAATACTGAATTGCATTGGTATATTTTAGAAAATTCCATTCATGAGAGGCATGATTGAAACACAGGTTGGCTAGAAATGCAAATGCATAGAACGCGTTGGGACAATGTAGGCCTTCCAGTGAAATCAATTGGACGCCTTGACCACAGCAAGAGATTCACGTAGATAGGTTCAAGGAAAATAACAAAAAAACGACGTTTCGATCGCAGCACAAGCGGTCGTCATCCTGAATACCAAGGGGCTGTCCATAAATGACGTCACGCGATTTTGGACGATTTTTGACCCCCCCCACCACCGCGTCACAAAAAGTCAGACCCCCCCCCTCAAATATGACGTCACAAAGCTCTGCCCCCCCCCCCCCAAATAAAACATGCTTCAAATCGCTTTAAACTATTGTCATTGTAGTGCGTATTTAATGTGGCGCTGCACTCTGATGTAGGAGAAAACATAAAAAAGTCTAATTAAGTAGAACGTGTTGTCTATATTTAAAGTTGCGCATTTTTACGTGACGTCACATTTCTCAAACCCCCCCCCACCTCGTCACTTATCGTCACAAATGTCTGACCCCCACCCCCCCCCCCCAAGTGCGTGACGTCATTTATGGACGGCCCCCAAGCGCGACGTAAAACAAACATCTGGGGCCACCAGCGCGTGAGACTACCCCGTGGCCTGTGGCGGTGGAACTTTGATGCAAACTTCCACCCCGGAGGCCAGTGTCTTTGAGGTCACAGGGTTGCCAGCGCCATGGCTGTCCAGCAGCGGCACGTTTAACTTGGGCAATACTCGGCAGCAATTTTGACTTGAGGCGATGTGGGCTTATTTTGAAATCGTCTCGGTTTACAAAGTCAATTGACGCCGATCCCTCGGGGGGGATTGAGAGTGGCTGCCCCGTTGGGGACGTTGGTCACTAATGCATTTGAGCACAGGCAACCACCGCACCCACCACCCAGTTGGTTCCTGTACATCGCCTCTGGACACTTTGCATTTGGAGCCCGTGGAGTTGCACAGCATCAAACACTCGAATCCAGCTGTCGAGGCCTTTTCAAAATGCATATTCGTTACGGCTCCATTGATGTGCCAGAAAGTTGCACGTGGTTGGTTTTGGCAGCAGGAGCATGAGAAGTAGCTGCCTCCAATGCACCCGCAACAGTCAAAGAGTTCCCATGCCATGGCACGGCTCGTAAGTCTGAACGTTTGTTATCGCACATACGAGTCCATCCCATCACGAAAGTGCACGAACCACACCTAGTAATCTCTTCATAAAAACACTGTTAAGTTCCTTGCAAAACTGTCTCAGGCTCAAGGATAGATCGCGAACATCAGCCGGTAATTGGTTCTGGGTCTCTAGGCCGGAGACCCAGAAGCTGCGCTGGCCGTAACGCGCAAGGTTTGCACGCAGGTGACACGGCATCAGTTGGGGTTGCTTGAGGACAGTACACGTTGCTTGGCCGGATAGGATGGAGTGGAATGGTGCAGGACTCTTGTAGATACATCGGCATAGTTTGTCAACAATCCTATGTTTGACAGCGCTTGTCACTCTTCTCGTATCGAGGTCACTCACGATCGCATTACAAATTTTGCAGCTGAACTATCAGGCCAGCCACGGCATTCGACACTGGAGCGGACACAGATGCACAGGGGTGGGCGCAGCCGAAAATGCCGTTGCAATACTCCGCGCGGCGAATTCGTGGAGGACCACCCTGACTGTCTCAGCGGCCCGTGCGTCACGGACTGCACAATTGTCGAAGCTGAGAGAAGCGCCGTCCGTTTGAGCGCCTGACGTGAGTGGCGAATGTTGGCAAGGATGCCGGGACGCGTTACTTTATACGACACTGGGATGCCGCAGTCGTTCAGGTGAATGGACTCTTGGTTGACGCTGGTGAGCTGATGGTAGGTTCCCGAGTGTGATGATTTCAGTCTTAGAATTCAGTTTCAGATGGTGTGATGGCATCCAGCAGGTCCGCTCTCTTGGCCATCACTCCAGAAGAGGCCTTGATGTTTCTTCCAGGAAGAGAGGATTACAGACTGCAGTGCTATCACCAGGCAGTAGTGGCAATACACATTCTCAAACTTCTTTGTGAATTTTTCTTTTTAGTTTTTCCATCCAAATTTGGGGGAATTCAGAATGGTCTAATAAAGTGCACTTGGACCCAGGGTTAGGCATGCGAGTGATAACTGTCTTTTGATTCATAGTTGTTTGAACTAGCTGAACGTTGATGAAACTTTAGATATGTGTGGGCCAGACGGAATGTATGCCAGCAGTTCACCTGACCAGTTTCTCTTACTCAAATATTCCTTGACTTCGTAAATTCTGTCCGTCCGCATTTTGCCCCAGCAATTGGTGGCCTGAGAGCAATGTGCTTTCACTCTGGAAGAAATATGTCGAAGGCCTTTCAAAAGATTGCTGATTGCTTCATTCTCTGCACAATTGCCAAACTTCCATTTTGCGTTGGGCATTTTCTCCGGGCGAGGTATGAATGTGCAACTCGTAAAGACTGTCACGCATCTAGAACACGGTGGGCACTCGTCGAGTTTCAGATTCAAGTCGTTGTGCTTGTAGGCCCTGGAGGTCACCGTCGGAGGGAATTTTAAAATACCACTTGCATCTGGGTGGTTTTGGGCGAATGTGACAGCTTGGGCTACGAGTGGATGCCAGTTGAACAGGCAGTTGAGGGCCAACATTATTTCTGACGCTTCTTTTCCTGAACAGCTCAAGGAGGCGCCCCAGAAAGGTGTGGCATTTAGAATGTTGTAGCCTTGCTCTCATCACAGAAACAACTTTGTGATACTACAGTGGCAAAAAAAGGCAGTTTTGGCATCGTCGGGGAATAAGGCTGCAGAATTCTTTCAGCAAGGCCCTCCAGAGTCGTCTTGATGGCATCGCTGTTTCCAGGACCCTCAGCACGGACGACCTGTGTTCAAAAAAATTTCAGAGTTGATGTTACCACAAGTTTAGTTTCAGAACAATGTACAACAAATAACCAGTTAGTGTTAGCTCAGAGGTGGAATATGTGTGAATGCTTCGATAGCCAAACTGTTTCGTGTTATCTTCTGAAACCCATTAACCTCGTGCTGCCAACAGCTCTACAGAACCTTTATCTTCACAAGAGAATTATATACAAAAACACACTCACCATCTCCAGTAGAATCGAGTATGGTGTTGTTCTTGGCACGTGGGTTTTGAATGCATCTGGGTTTGCTGACGAGCTTCGGAATTTCTCAAGAATAGGCATCTCTTCAGGGTTGATGCGGGGTTTGTTGATTTGTCCAAGGAATAGAATTGAGTGCCGAACCTGCAAAACATACATGCGGTTTTACATTTTGCATTCATCTGTTGGTCGTGCGGGAGGGCGTGTGGCACAGTTTGGTGCCCGGCTATCGTAGAGTGCGGTCGTGTCGCTACAGTTCTCTGCAGTGACGTCTTTAAAAACGACGGCGCTACTACGCCTCTCTAAATAAAATTCACGCTGAGCCGCTTGCTGTGGATTTACCACACAGAGGATTTGACATAAATTCGCCAACATTGCTTTAGTAAAGTGTGTTAAATGCTTCTCAATTAGGAAAAAAGTGAAATATGTTGATGCTTACCTCGTCAAGGTACTTGTGAACATCACTGCCCTCGAGTTTTCCCTGTTGAATTGATTCTTTTCCATAGAGCGCCATCTCGACAAATAGGCCAGTGTAGGTCCGGCGGAAATACTCCTTAAAATCTTTGATGTAAATGAAAGCGCTTGTTTTCTTCGTCTGCCTGCAAAATGTATGAAATATAAACACCACATTAAACAACAACAAAAATGACATTAAAAAACTATTGATTTATTTTCGTATTTGGCAATTGTTGAAATATTGCATTACAATATATTTTTTTGTGCCGTTTCGATACCAGTGTTGTTGTTGACTCGGCAAAAAATGTAACGCCGGATTGCTTTTGCGGACGTAAAAATAACATCTCGTACGAGATGATTGCTCATAACTCCGGGTTGAGAATTCTTCCTCGTCGTGCAGATGATGCATCGGAAGAGAAAACGACGCTAACAACGTCGACGATAAGAACGTCCACGCAGCTTAACGCACGGGAGCGAACCATTTGATGTGGGCAGCATGCACTTACCGATTGGCCATTGTTGTTGTGTATATAATATAAAATAGTCTTTGGCTCCTTTCCTCCGTCTTCACATTTGCCAGCAGCCCTCTGAGTGTGCAAAACAAAAACGAGCGCGCAAGTTAGAACCTTGGAGGGGGACCCCAAAACATTTTTAATTGTTCAGTAATCGATTAATTTCAAATGCATTCCGTGTTGTAAGTTCAAGAACCGGGCACAAAAAAACAACCAACTCTTAGACGCAGCCAGCCAATAATGTGGTCTTGACACACTTGAGCTTTTGCGATGATTGCAATGCATCACGACAGTTGTCTATTTTACATGCTCACAGCTGACAGTGCCACCAATGTTGTTAGTGTTCTTTAACATTTGTCAACAAAGCAGTTTGGGGTTTTCCCATTCTACTCGACAGTGATTGAGTGGACGAAAATTGTTGAACGTGACAATGACCAAGACAAAGATTCCCCACATAGCCTTAGACTGTAGGGGCAAGTGCCGGTAGCACCTATGAAGGCCAGCACGGCACGCAAGGGGGTGGGTGGCCAACACCACGCCCGGCCGCCTTTTTCTCCCTAGCGGCGATGTTTACACACCGCACCAGGTACTCATGTGAGGCTGAGTCGACTGGGACCCTCCACCCCAGACCACCCACCCATAATCCATGCCTCTGCCGAGAGCAAATGAACTCGTGTGCATGAAGACCCCGAGTAAGATTTCCTTATATGAAACAGCAGTTTACTGAAGAACAATAGTGGCAAATTGTATATGCGTGCATTTCCACATCACAGATTGCCAGGCTGGGAAGTTACGATCACTTCACGCCAACATTTAATAACCGAGGAGCCGACTACATTTTTTTCTTGACATCTTTAGTTGACTTCGACGAAAATAATTGCTGGAATAAATTCACGGACTTTAACCACGAGCCCACACGGCTCTCATCACCGCTCGCCAACTCGGTTGGTGCTGTATATCGACCTGCCCTGTTTAATCAGTATTATTATTCTTTCTCGATTTGAAGTTTTCGTGACTGCAATAATCCATGCTCTTTGGTTTTATTTGGTAAAGTCACGTAGGTAAAAAAATAAAAAATGAAAAAAAAATGAAAAAATACATTTCATTTTTATTTTCTTTATTCTACGAAAACATTTCTCAACTGGTGCTACGCAGTTTAAGCAGTCCATCTTAAGTCTTTTCACCGCCGGTGTTTATAAAACAAGCACCGCCTTGTCAGAAGCCAACAGGGGGGTGGTGGTGAATCTACTTTGGAAACGACTGGGTCTTGCCGTGGTAACGTGGAATGCACACCTTCAGACCGATCGCGGACACGGACGCATTGCTCATCAAAAAAAAGTGGACCCTGACTTTGGCAAGAACAATGACAGATACAATATGTGCACTTGACAGCGAAGCTCTACGGTATATTTACTCGGGAATTCATTATTAAACACGCTAACGATCAATCGCGTTTTCAAACAAGACACTCTGTGTGCAAATCATAACACGCTACTCAAAACCACCATTCAATTTGACATCCTGAACAAATACACAAACACACATCGAGTAGTATCCATTCATTGAAGCATCCTACCTTGTTTGAGTATATTGCATCCAAAGGTACTGCTGAAGTTGCTTGCAACGAAAGACGTCTAACATACGAGGAAATGATTGCCAATGACTTAGCCAACCCTCGGTGCTTCGTGTATATATAATATGTGTGTGGGGTGGGGTAGCTGGCCTCAGGGAGGTGCTGGTGGGGAACCCATCCGAGTGGTTTCGGCTTTCGCAGAAGTGACGGCGAAGGAGTCATGACGTTCGTGCTTTCGTTTTTGACGGCTTCGTGCGTTTCGCGTTTGGACGCGACTCAATTGTCCAACAGAGGGCGCCCAGCAAGCAATACAATTAGCGTCGTCGGGTTCATGGGATTTCCCCGCTTGCTGCAACACCCACAGCAACAACAGCAACAGCGACCAAACTGTTTTATTTTGCCATGTTAAAGCCCCGCTTAGCTGTGCAGATGTTTTCTTCAGACGTGACCTGTCCGTCACGAACGATAGCTCAACGAAGTGGCTTATCGCCACGTGGAGATGTACAGCAGCCAAATGAATACTCTAAACGCCGTGATGTTCATTCTAAATATGGAGGGGAAAACCGGAGGGCGCGGAGATAAATCCACGCGACCACGCGGAGAGAGACGCCCCAAACTCCAAATATGGAGCAGCAGGCGTCAGGGTCGGGATCGAGCCCACGACTTCCTGTATACCTGGCGAGGTAGTTAACATCTCGCCACCGTGATGATGATGAGAGAGAGAGACGTCCCAAACTCCAAATATACAGCAGCAGGCGTCAGGGTCGGGATCGAACCCACGACTTCCCGTATACCAGGCGAGGTAGTTAACATCTCCTAGCCACCGTGATGATGATGAGAGAGAGAGAGACACGGAAACTCCAAATATAGAACAGCAGGCGTCAGGGTCGGGATCGAACCCACGACCACCTGTACACCAGGCGAGGTAGTTAACATCCCATAGCCACAGTGGCACCACAAAAGTGATCAAGGCTCCAATTGTAATGGTCGCGCTTGGCATAAGCAAACTAATGCCACGCGCCAAATCGGGGTGCTTAAAATATCTCGAATTCAGAACCCGATCCTGCCTGCATCACTCTTATCTCGTCAACTACATCCTTGAAGTAAATCTATCTCATCTGTGTCTCTTCTGTCGTGTCACTAGAGCCGTCATTCGGCTACATTTCTCCCTTCATACTACGTCTCTGATTTCGTGTCCATAGCTTCTCTAGTGTCACGTCACTTGGGAGTTAGGAAACGAAATTTGAATGGAGGGAATTTCCTAAACAATGATCTGCGCTTGGGCAAAGGTGGCAGTGCCACCAATGCCCCACTATGGTCCTGAGAGTGGAGATTCACCTCATAGCCCTTTGCGATGTTGACATGAACATTTATTGAAACAGCTTGCATGGGCAATGATGAATGGAATTGGCGGAACTGTATTGGCACGGCACAGATTCAAAAGTTCACTCAAAGGCGATTGTAAAATGTCAATTATGATGGCCAAAGAAGTGTTAATCGCAGGGACATAACTGAACAAAAATGGGCAAATTCATTTGAAAAGGACCCGTGATCCAAATGTTATTTTTGTCAAAACTCAAAATAGGTGTGAGTATTGAAGCAGATGTTAATCTTAAACAGATCTTGCTTGTGTAGTAAGTATATATGGAGGCTTGACGACAGGATCGGAGGCACACTTATTTATTACACCAACACAGTTATTACAGGTCACTTGGCTACAGGGATTTCTCGACAGCTAACCCCTCTAGCCTATACCAACTCCTCCACTACGGGACTAGGGGAGGCTATCTGTCCCAGCTTGGTTAAGCTGGGATCCCGGCTCCCTGAGTCACCAGACCAGCTTCGTCTGGGCTCTCGGGGCCACGCCACCGGCTTGCCCTGGTCGGCCCTTAGAAGGACAGCGAGCCAGGGGAGCTCCGGGGCCTATACTAGCAGGTCTTCGTTCTTCACTGGTTAAAGCTGAGTCCCGACCTCGAGCCCTCGAGCTCATCACCTTTTATAGGACTTGCCCCCAAGGGGGGGCCCGTGGGGGATACACATGCGGACGTCGGTGCGAGCGCCACCCTTGTGTACGGCCGTAACCCCGCCCCTTGTGTTTGTTGGCCATCCGTGGCCATGCATAATCACACCTCAACATTCGTAGCCATGCGCAATTACACCTCTACATCACCCCCCCCTGTACAGCTCGCAGCCGTCCCCGGCTGCAAAAAAAATCAGAATAAAGGTGCATCCCTCACGAAAACCCCGTGTGTGTGTGCCTCGCGTAATTTTTTTTTTTAACAAGAACAAGAAAACCCCAACAGGAACAACAAGAGGAAGAGAGAGAGAGAGAAAAAAAAATAACCCGACGCACCCTCCCCGGATAAATACCCCAAAACCAACATATATATACGCTCCGGACGCCACCTTTCCCATTGTCCGCAAGGCCCCCCAACGGCCGACCTCACAACACCCCTTCCCTTTTGTCCGCAAGGCCCCCCAACGGCCGACCTCACAAAAGTCTGCGCGTTTTGGCGCGCGTTCTCGCGGCGGGCCCGTCACAAGGGCCCGTCCCGGCACGCTCAGTGACGGTTGTAGACGGTCCGGGTGCAAGAGGGTCAGGCGTCGCTGCCGAGTGACCCCCGACCCCTCCGGGAGGGGTTGGTGGGCGTGGGCCCGTCACTCCTGTTTCACCCGGGGACGGAACAGTTGGCGTCAGGTTAGGCGAGTGCAGCGACGACGGGGAGTCGGCGACACCCTCACACGTTTGGCCATGCGTGTGTGTGTGTGAACCACGGGGCGGCGTGACGAATGGTTTTAACCTTGAGGGGTGCACATACCACCGGCGCCTCCCCCATTTGACGCGAACACATTGCGGCCGCAAAACCTGCACGACCTCCACTGGCCCCCGCCACGGCCGTACCAATTTCGACGAGGTTGCCAGCGGCACCTGAGGACAGTGCAACCACGCCCTGTCCCCTGGTTTCCATTTGACCACCTGCACCCGCCCCAACCGAAGCCTCTCGTTCGCCTTCTGGCGGAGTTCGGAATTTTGCACGGCCGCTTCCCGCGCCTCAGACAATTTAGCGATGTTAAATTTAACGTGTTCGGACAAGTTAGACTTCGCCTGGGGCGCCGAGAGCTTCAGCTGGGTCGCCACAGGGGGGTGAACTTCGCGCCCATACATTAAAAAGAAAGGGGAAAATCCGGTGGCCGCATGGGGAGCCATTCTGTAGGCCTGCAACACACCGGCTATACGGAGGTCCCAATCCGTCTGGGATATCGACACCTGCTGGGACAGCATGGACGTGATGGTCCGATGCAGCCGTTCCACCATCCCGTCAGTTTGTGGGTGATACGGAGAGGTCCGAACCTTCTCCGTACCCAAGAGGTCGCACACCTCACGTAGGAGTTTACCAGAAAAATTCCTACCCTGGTCAGTAAGCAGCCGTTCCGGAGCACCTTTGTCGAGGACATAGCCCTGGACAAAGGCCTCCGCGATGGCTGCTGCCGACTGGTTCGCCAGGGGCCAGGCCATAGGCCATCTCGTGAAGTATTCAACCCCCGTTAGTAAATACCTATTGCCCCTGGGCGTAGCGGGAAATGGGCCAAGTATGTCCAGAGCGACGAGCTCGTTAACCCGGGAAACTTTTATGGACTGCAGCGGAGGGTTGGACCCTCTCGCAGGCGGCTTCCTCTGCGCGCATTGCGTGCATGACCCCAAGAGATCCCCCACGTCCTTTTCCATGCCCGGCCAGAAGAAATCCAGCTGGAGCGTGGCAAAGGTCTTGTGAACCCCCAAGTGCAGAAGCCGCTCATGAACAGCCCATACCACCTTACCCCTTAAAGCAGCAGGCACCACAAGCCGCTGGCGCCGGGTTTTTCCATCCCAGTGCATCAAAAGACCCTGGAACAACCCCCACGAGTCAACGTTTTCCACCCCCTGACCAGCCCCCCCGACGCGACGGCGCAAAGCGAGGAGGGAGGTGTCCTCCATTTGGAGGCGTCCCCATTCCGCGACCGGCAACCCCAGCAACGAATCCCTCCCTTCTTGCTCGATAGGACCCGAAGCCGAAGGTGCATCGGCAGCGGCCACGAGGACCGAATCGGTGGTGACGTTCGGGGGCCTACAACGCCCCGAACCCAACAGGCACGCGCACTCCGAAGTGGGTGGCAATCGTGACAGGGCATCAGCGTTCGTGTGGCGGACACCCTTACGATATGTGGTGACAAAGTCATAGTCTTGGAGGATCTCCAACCATCGAGACAACTGGCCCGATGGTTGTTGAACCCGCAGGGCGTACTGTAGGGCCGCATGATCTGTACGGACGGTGAACCGCCGACCGTACAGATACGGGCGGTACTGCTGAATGAAATAAACAATCGCCAATAATTCCCGACGGGTAACGCAGTACCGCTGTTCGGCTGGAGACAGTACCCGACTACCGTAAGCCACCACATGCTCTACGCCCCCAATGAGCTGGGACAGCACGCCCCCGATGCCCGTGTTACTTGCGTCAGTATCGAGCAAGAAGGGTTGTGAAAAATCGGGGTAATTCAACGGCGGAGCCCCCACCAAAGCATTCCGGAGGGCGCGAAAAGCAGTCTCCTCCTCCGGCCCCCAATGAAACCTGACTCCCTTGGACGTCAAGGCATGCAATGGTTTCGCAATCGTAGCGAAGTCAGCCACAAATCGTCGATAATACGACGCGAACCCAATGAAACTCCTGACCTCTCCCACCGAGGTGGGAGTCGGCCAGGAGCTGACGCATTCCGTTTTGGCGGGATCAGTGGATATCCCCGAGCGCCCAACAATGTGACCCAAATATCGCACCGATTCGCGGAGTAAATGGCACTTCTGCGGTTTAAATTTCAAATTGGCAGCCCGCATTTTGAGAAAAACAGCACGCAACCTCTGGAGGTGTTCCTCGAAGGATTTGCTAAAGACGATGACATCGTCTAAGTAAATCAAACACGAATCCCATTGCAAACCTGCCAAGACCAATTCCATTAACCGCTGAAAAGTTGCCGGCGCAGAATGTAAACCCATCGGCAAGCGGTTAAATTGGAAGAGATCTTGCGGTGTCCGAAAAGCAGTCTTAGGTTTTGATTCGTCATCCAGAGGAA